AAAAGCATGTCCCCCTAACAGTTCGGATAATCGACGTTCTACTGTACATGTATGTGCCATGATTTCAAGTGGTCTAGATAAAAATTAATCAGTCAGGTTCCAACATGCATAACTCATGAGTGCTGTAACTACTGATGTTTATCATGGCTTATTTTACTATATACATTGTATGTTAAAGTCTTTTAAATATCTTAGCTGATACTGTAATTTTTACTTCTTCTCTTGTAAATACATATCATGGGACACAACCAATCATACATAATCTAACAATGAAAATGTCAGTCTTTACTTCACTTGCATTCCTGTGTTTGTTTTTTTAGAATTTATTAGAAGACCCAACACCATTGGTGAGGTCTATTGGTGTTAATGGTATTTGTAAAATTGCAAGCTTCTTTTGGGAATTGATTCCAAGTCAAACACTTCAAACATTGTTAATGAAACTTGTAAGAGACATGGTTTATGATTCTGCTTCCAGTGATGTGAGAGCTGCAGTTTTCAATGTAGGTTTAGTTCATTATACATATGAACACATTTTATTGTTGTTATATGTCTCTTATGTACCATGGTAGTTCATGTTCATATGTCAACCATCATGGACAAGCATGGTCGACCTTGGTTGTTAAATGACACAAACTACCATGATCAAAGACCTTGATCAATCACGGTTGTTTGTGACATGAACTACCATGGTCATAAATGATCATAGAAGTTTGTGACATTTACTCTGACCTCTAAGACTAGAATTGTTCATGTAGTTATATATAGCAAACAACCATTAGAGTCTTGGAGAAAGTCATATAACACTGACTACATAGGGTAATACACAGTCTTGATACATGGAGCAAAACATTTTATACCATGCTTGTCCATGCCATCAAAATTTTAACATAACAGTTCTACCATCATAGCAGCTCTGACCATGGTCATGGGTATTCTGGTCCACCATGGTCTGTCCATGCCATCAAAGTTTTAACATAACAGTTCTACCATCATGGCAGCTCTGACCATGGTCATGGATATTCTGGTCCACCATGGTCTGTCCATACCATCAAAGTTTTAACATAACAGTTCTACCATCATGGCAGCTCTGACCATGGTCATGGGTATTCTGGTCCACCATGGTCTGTCCATACCATCAAAGTTTTAACATAACAGTTCTACCATCATGGCAGCTCTGACCATGGTCATGGGTATTCTGGTCCACCATGGTCTGTCCATACCATCAAAGTTTTAACATAACAGTTCTACCATCATGGCAGCTCTGACCATGGTCATGGGTACCGTAAAAACTCAATTAATTCGCGGTCTCTATTAGTTCGCGCACCCATTTTGTTTTCGAACGCTAATTTTTACATGTATCCTTTTAATTCGCGGCGTTCAAAAACATGTTTAAAATTGTATCCTATTAATTCGCGCGCCAGAATAAAGTGGATAACTCAGAATATATTGCATGAACATTAAAAATATACATATAATGTTATGTTTACAGTATTTGGTGACGCCGC